TTTTTTTTTCTTTTTTTACAGGGAAAAGGAGGAAGGAGGAGGGAGGGAATATTGCATTTGCCTCCTTTGCTAACCAAAATTGAATTAAAGTTGTAAAATGCCTGGGAGTTGAACACTGACCGGGCAGGTTTTCAGTGGCTTTTTTTTTTCCCCCCTCCGAAGAACTGTTGGTTAATGGATGAATGGATCTGATGGAGCCGAGAAAGAATATGCTAGAGACATGCCTCTAAGTCAGATTTGTGCTGCCTCTGTGCAGCGAAGCCTTTTGCTTTGAGTAATTCCAATCCAGTTGACGTCTGGTCAGAATTAACAGGGAGATTCACCGAGACTTCCGAATTCTTGCTGCATGACTGCTTTTGCTGCAAGTGCTAGATTTGCATCCTTGAACCTGATGCCACAGGAGATGTCTTTCAGTACTGAGACCTCCCGTTTTTTAGGATGCCTTCCTCCAAACCAGAGTTGTGTCATGAGGACTGGAGCTCTCATGTGGATGATAGAAAACGCAAGCCTGCTCCAAGATCCCTGCGTTTAAGCTTGGATGATTTATTAGTCTTCCCCTACCGACACACACAATGCATTTATTTTCCCCGTTCATGTTGCTTTTAAACCACTAGAAGTAGAAGGAAGCCACAAGGAGTCAGAAAGACTGCAAGAAGGATTGGAAATGGGATTTGTTTCCAGCTAGGAGAAATTTGGGTATTAAATTACTGACGTAGGTCAATGGTAGGGTTTCCCTTCCACCCCCCCCCTTGGCTTTTAATCAGCCTGGGTGTCTTCTCCCCTAAAGGATGAAGAGTACTGACAGCTATCGCTGCTTATAATCAGTAACTCTGATGCTTGGAGTGTTGGCGATGAGATATTTCCATGAGACCTATTTAGATCTCTCCACTTCTACCAGGCTAGTTTTGCAGAACGTTGGGAATAAGCGGTATGTCAGATATGGCTGAGACGATGAAGATGAGCCGCATGTTTTACATTTGTCACAGATTTTGGGTGAGTGGATAAAACATTTCCTTTAAGAATGTGTGCGTGTGTGTGTGTGTGTGTGTGTGCATGTGTACAAGAACTGAAGAGCTTTGCTTGATAAGTCAGCTCTGTTACAGTGGATATAATTCATGGAGGGGAGGGTCAAAAAATCAATTAAAATTATTTATTTGTGTAAAGCTATGAAATTTCTCTCAGTGAAGAGAGCTGTTAAGTGCACTGAAGTAGGGGGTTAAGGCATTTAATCCCATTACTGAAGAATTCCTCCACAGAAGTCATCTGGGGGTGTGTGCGTGCATGCATATGTGTGTGTGTGTGCATGCCTGTGTGGGTGGGTGTGTGCTTTGTAAATGTATAGATAGGGGAAAAAAAAAACCAACATAAAAGAGTTCTAAAAAATGTGTGCTGTGGAGAATGTGTCAGTATTTTCTCTGTTGAATTAAGCTGCCTTTTTCAGCACTAGGCATTTTTCTTTGGATTCCTACCATGGCATTTCCAGCACCGGTTAAAAATGAAGGTAGAAGGAGGGGAAGACCTTGGTGCGCTGTTCACTGGGGAGGTTCTGAAGGGAAGGGGGAGCTGGGTAATAGGGGAGGTGGGAAACCTCGTAAAATGGTGCTGCTTTTCTCCTAAATTAGAACCATGAAACTGAACTGACAGCCATTTTATGTATATTTATGGGGCTGGTCGTGAAAAAGAAATCCAAGGAAGCATTGAAATGCACCCCACATGAACAGAACCAGAACAATTCCTACTGTGACCTCACCTTTTTAAACACCACAGGCATTTGACTCGCTAGGAATTGCCCATCAACCTTGTAATCAATGCATGTCATCCAGTTTTCCAAAGTGTGGGAATTAAAAAAGTGACAGGAGGTTGTTTTTTTTTTTTGCTTCTTTGATTAACAATCCATTCTCTACCCCACTGAAGATGTATAGATAAAGTTTAAGTCCTTTTTAAATTTTATGGGGCTATGCTATTATGCTGCTTTCTTTTTTCTCTCCTTATCCTGACAGGAAATAAAATGTATGCTTGCTGCTCTACAGTAACTTTGGAACAGGACCTCAACAAAAAAATGCATATCTGGATGCTGCAAACGATCGTGTTTGCTGTAACATCTCTCGTCCTTTCGTGGGCAGAAAGCCTCGAGTATTATGGGGAAATCTGTGATAACGCGTGTCCCTGCGAGGAGAAGGACAGCATCTTAACAGTGAGCTGTGAAAACAGAGGGATCATCAGCCTCTTTGAGATCAGTCCACCAAGGTTCCCCGTCTACCACCTCTTGCTGTCTGGGAACCTCTTGAACAGGCTGTACCCGAACCAGTTTGTCAATTACACGGGGGCTTCGATTTTGCACCTGGGAAGTAACGACATACAAGACATCGAAACCGGGGCCTTTCACGGTCTGAGAGGTTTGAGGAGGCTGCACCTGAACAATAACAAGCTGGAACTCTTAAGGGATGACACTTTCCTTGGGCTGGAGAGTCTGGAATACCTACAGGTCGATTATAATTATATTAGTATCATTGAACCCAACGCCTTCAGCAAGCTGCATCTGCTGCAGGTGCTGATTCTCAACGATAACCTCCTCTCTAGCTTGCCCAACAACCTTTTTCGTTTTGTGCCCTTAACTCACCTGGACTTGAGGGGTAACCGGCTAAAGCTGTTGCCCTATGTGGGCCTCCTGCAGCACATGGATAAAGTGGTGGAGCTGCAGCTGGAGGAAAACCCTTGGAATTGCTCTTGTGAGTTGATTGCTCTAAAGGATTGGCTGGACAGTATCTCCTACTCCGCTCTGGTAGGAGACGTGGTTTGCGAGACCCCTTTCCGCTTGCACGGTCGAGATTTGGACGAAGTCTCCAAGCAGGAGCTTTGCCCCAGGAGGCTCATCTCGGATTATGAAATGAGACCGCAGACACCGCTGAGCACCACGGGGTACTTCCACACTACCCCGGCCTCGGTCAACTCCGTGGCCACCTCTTCTTCAGCTGTTTACAAATCCCCCTTGAAGCCCCCCAAAGGCACCCGCCAACCCAACAAGACGAGGGTGCGCCCCACCTCCCGCCTGCCCTCGAAAGACCTGGGCTACAGCAACTACGGCCCCAGCATCGCCTACCAGACCAAATCCCCGGTGCCTTTGGAGTGCCCCACCGCCTGCACCTGCAACCTGCAGATTTCCGACCTGGGCCTCAACGTCAACTGTCAGGAGAGGAAGATTGAGAGCATTTCCGAGCTGCAGCCCAAGCCCTATAACCCCAAGAAGATGTACCTGACGGAGAACTACATCGCGCTGGTACGCCGGGCGGATTTTGTGGAGGCCACCGGGCTGGATTTGCTGCACCTGGGCAATAACCGGATCTCGGTCATCCAGGACCGGGCCTTTGGGGATCTAACGAACCTGCGGCGGCTGTACCTGAACGGGAACCGTATCGAGCGGCTGAGCCCGGGGCTGTTCTACGGGCTGCAGAGCCTGCAGTACCTGTTCCTGCAGTACAACGTCATCCGGGAGATAGAGGCGGGCACCTTTCAGTCTGTCCCCAACCTCCAGCTCTTGTTTTTGAACAACAACCTGCTGAGGTCTTTGCCGGGGAATATTTTTTCTGGTCTGTCTCTCTACAGGCTGAGCCTGCGGAGCAACCACTTCTCCTACTTGCCAGTGAGCGGGGTGCTGGACCAGCTGAAGTCCCTGCTGCAGATCGACTTGCACGAGAACCCCTGGGACTGCACCTGCGACGTGGTGGGGATGAAGCTGTGGCTGGAGCAGCTCAACACCGGCGTCCTGGTGGACCAGGTCATCTGCGAGTCCCCCAAGAAGTTCGCCCAGAGCGACATGCGGGCGGTCCGGGTG